TCGAAGGACGGCTATTGTTTGAGTGATATTCTGATCGTCCCGCAGTATATCCTTCTCCTCCACACGGTATCAGCCAGTGGGAAACAACGTTGATCATCGCGAGTGCATGCAGACAGACACATGGTCGTTCAGACCGACAAATCTTCCCGCTAAGTCCTGGTTGGAAAGGCGTAGGCATCGGGCACAGGTAGTGCGTGATGCGTGGCCCTTTTACAGTGATTATGGTTTTTTCAGGTCGCGGATGTCTTCCAGAGAGGTAAGCTTCGCCGTCGGAAGGAGAGTGTTGCTAGAGCCGAGCGGCAGAAGGCGCTCGAGCAACTCACTGAGGTAGCTCGCTCTCGGGACCAAAGGTCTTAGACTAGCCTCTAGATATGGATGAAAGACTTCCTGCCGAATTACCTGCCGCATCGGCCAGTTCCATACCGAATGGCGTCTACCTGGCGAAAACACGGGCTGCCACCTCGCGCCAGAACCGCTTTGTGGCCCGCAGCGATAGGCAATCCTCTGAGGATCACTAGGAGCTTATATGATATGCTTACGAGGAAGGCGAAGTGAGCACCTCCACCCGGATTCGCTCGATGTTGTAGCCTCGCGTTCTCAGAGTAGCAGAAGAAAAATGGTCTGCTGCTGTCAGCACCATGGCTCTCGTTCAAGACGGATCGCCCAGTGGAAGGCTAGAGCCGGGTGAGTCTCGAATCATGCAAGCTCTCGTCGTGAGGGTGATAGCTTTCATTCAGACTCGTTCATGGCGCAGCTCCGGGCGATTGACTTGGATTTGCCCAGAACATTACCTGATCTTGCTGTGATGAGCGTCCCTGACGGTCCCCTGCGGCAGGAGTGTCGTCTCGTGCTCTCGGCGTTTGCTATGTACAGACCAGACATCGGCTACGTTCAAGGTGAGGTAACTCATGCGTGGCATATCATGCAAGTTCTACTTGAAAGGTATGTCGTTCCTGGCGGCGATGCTTCTCCTTTACATGGACCCTTTCGGTGCATTCGTGTGCCTCGCATCTCTCCTATTGAGCTCGCCGACACTCCTGGGCTTATACCAGCTCAACGTCGAAACCAACACTCGACGGTTCCGGATCTTCATGAGGCTCCTTGAAGCTCACAATCCATCAGTTCAACGGCATCTCACAGATATTGGAATAACGCCAGACCAGTTCCTCCCCATGTGGTTCCTCACTCTATATTCCAGGCCGTTGACTACCGAGTCGGCAGCCCTAGTATGGGACCTCTATCTACTGGATAAAGAACCCGTGCTGTATGTTGCTGGGATAGCTATTTTGGACATCTTGGCCGACCGCTTACGGGATCGTGATTTCGACGAGTGTCTCATGCTTCTGCTGAGAGATACTCGGGATATTATTGGTAGCGACAGAGAGCTCTTCTTGGATGCCATGAACTCCGTTATTATCCCCGATGCAGTTTATTCGGAAATCACCGATCTGGAGGCCGAATTCGTTCCACCACCGATCATGCCCGTCCATCGCTTTCTCACATGAGCTACGTCATCAACCATCCCCGCTCAGGAGCTCGTGATGGATTGTGTGGCTTTACGCCCTGACGTTTTTGTGATATTTGAGATTTAACCCAGGTCAGTTTTGTGTTGATCGATCTCGAGAGCAACGTCGGATTTTCGACGTTCAGTAGCGTTTAATTTTTTGGCCGAATGTCCCGCCAATCAGGCTACGACCGCCATATTACAATCTTCAGTCCTGAGGGTCGTTTGTACCAGGTAATAGGGGTCAGCAGGGCAAGGATATGTTAGTTCCGCTTGGATGGCTGCTCTTAGGTCGAATATGCTTTCAAGGCTGTGAAGACATCAGGTCTAACGTGTCTCGCATTGAAGGGGAAGAATACGGTTGCTGTAGTTGGTCAAAAAAAGATTCCGGTGAGCACTCGTGGCTCGCACAACTTCACATCTGGTTTTCTCCTGTAATTCATCGTTTGCTCCAGGATAAGCTCCAGGATGGGTCCTTCACCAACTCCATATACCGCATCACCTCCAATCTTGGAGTTGTCATCGCCGGTATGCCAGCTGACGCTCGAGCTCTCGTCAATAGGGCTCGTCAGACCGCTTCTGAGTAAGATGGGATGGTATGTTAGTGAATCGCTGTGGTATGATGTCTCCCTAGATATGAGGATAAGAATGGTTGCGAGATTCCTTGCCACTATCTCGCCAAGAAGATCGCCAATTTGGCTCAGGTCTACACCCAACATGCCTACATGCGTCCATATGGCGTCAGTAAGCGAGCACATGAATGCCGCATGGGATATCAATTTCGGTTTTCCCTGCAGTTGCTCTGTTCTTCGGCATCGACGATGAGTTCGGTCCTCAGCTTTTGAAGGTAGACCCTGCGGGACACTATGTAGG